ATGAACGCTTACCGAAATTCACCTCTACCCTGGATTGCACGTTTACTCACCAACAAAGTGAGGGAGAGTAACAAGTGAACTTTGTTTTAACCTTGGATTATAAAATCTCTCCACGTCTGTAAAGACTTTCTCCTCATTGAATATCTTCTTTGTGACGGTGGACATGTATAGTAAGTGCAATGTAAGATTCAGTGCTTGCAAAAGTTATACGTAATACAATATAATGTACGATAGGAATAATTTCCGACCGTTTAGGGCAATGTTTTTTGCCGTTCAAATTTGGCATTCTGTTTCATTCTGATCATCAGGTCAATTCATCTCCTCCTGTTGCCCGCATTCCTAACTCCATGCGCAACTTTTCTCACCTCTCGCTCTCCCTCTCTCTCGTCTCAGACACGACCACGTTCCGCAAATCAAGAACTATTTTCCCCAGGCTCGAATCGTACGCGTGCCAAATGCCGGTCATTGGGTGCACGTGGACGCGCCGCATACCGTGTTGGATTTGATCACCGCTTTTATCAAGGGCCCCGCAGAACAACTTTCATTGGATGGTGTTGAGGAATTCAGTTAACCCCCCCCTCTCAGGGGGGAGGGGGGCAGCGCCTAATCTTGATTTGATTTTCCACTTCTCTCTCTCTCTCTCTATATATATATATATATTTATATATATATATATGCATACTTTTATTCTTAGTCCTTCTTGTTTCGATGAGATAATCTAGACAGCGTTTCATTCTCGTTTCGCGCGATCCACTCCCCTCAGCTGTGATTTTTCAGTTCAGCACCAGCCACGCCCCCGGTCGTGGGTGACTTTTTATTCTACCCGAGCGCCAATATCTATCTACATTGCCAAAAGAGAACTGTCGTTTTTATCTCTTGTATGTGTGTACGTATCCAGAAAGAGTGAGACCTATTCTTGACTTTTGCCTGACAACATAGCGGACATGTTGCCTGTGTATATATATATTTATAGATACATGATCTCTGTCCTTTTTTAGTCGTACTGCAATACACATTTGCCTCGCTAGACTTTGTTTGCATCTTGATTTAGTGATCTGTCCTCTCTCTCGCCTTCCTTTACTGTGTTGACAGTTGAGAGAAGTTTTCGCACTTCATTGGACAACTACCATCCGCGCTAGTTGGCCAAACCTCGATCAAATAAGAAACTGTCCCGTTGATATTTTGTCTGTTGCTATTGGGCTCTTTCGGCTAACGGTCGATCCCCCCAACGGCCGGTCGATGATCCACGTATCAGCAAGCGAAACTTGATGGTTTTACGCGACAGGTCTATAGAAACTGACCCACGGTCTGTTCGGTGACATCTTCGAGTTCTATCGATGCCTCAGTGCATTGTAGATCAACATTGAATCCAACGTGTTCCGCTTTTAAGGTTGATTCTAGTTAGGGTTCCTCAATAAATAAAAAAAATCCTTATCTTGTAATGAATTTGATTGTGGGAACAGCCTTATTCCCATGCGAGGATATCGTCAGCGATTGGTACTCATTTTGTTGGTCTGTTTGAGCTGAAATATACAACCAACTTTGTACAGCTAACTGAAGATTCAGGTAACTTGCAAGCTGATCCTGATGTGGTTTAAGTGACAAAGTTTCCCTGTTCGGCATGCGTTTTTGCAACTTCAAAGTGTAGAATGTGTTACCACAGAATTGATTTGCTTCGTCTCCCCCAACTCATTCGAACTGACGAAGCAGTGGTAAAGCTAGACAGATGAGCTATCTGGACAACCGCATCTCTTCTGGAGGACACATCCCGAATAGGTGGAATA